AAAAAAAAAAAAAATACAGGTCTAAGATTCGTTATCCATTTAAGAGACATCCAATTAACAATAAGTCAGAACGAAAATTAAAATCCAGAAAAATCCTGTTCTTATTCCGCAGAGGTAAAGATGCCGTTGTTCAAAACGCGTCCCGCCCCCAGGTCCCCTACGTCGGAAAAACTTCTAAATGGTACATCTCATTACCATAATAATCATAATCAACCAAACGGTAACGAGAATGATCAAAAAGACTCTGAAGGGACGTGCAACCAGCAACAGAATGGCAATCAAGAGCAACGGCGAAGACTGCACAGGTCTCCTCCAATCTTTCATTGTCAACTAGCTCACGGAAGTCCTACAGGATTAATATCGGGATTCAACAATGTACGAGAACTTTATCAGAAAATAGCTGATTGCTATGACATACCAATGGAAGAAGTGAGTCACCTATCATCCCTATTCATTAGTTAATAGAAATAATTTATCTGACATTTTTTGACAGCTATCTAAATAAAATACATCCATAGATCTGTGTTTTGTTACTTCTTGTTTATGTAATTAATTACGGGGATTATTTAAGAATTATTTCTTGCTGTGGTAGAGTAACAATTACGATGGACAAATCGAGTTCTACGAACATTTAATTTGAAAATTTTTTTAAATTTATAGTAGAAAAAATAGTTCCAAAAATATCCTTCCTACGATTTATTTACTTAGTTGTTGTACATAAAATAGCGTCGTTCATCATAGGGTGAATATCCCGGATACAGGAAACATCGGTTCCGGGCTGTGGCCTCTGGCCGATCTGGCTAGGGCTAAGTGCAGCTTTCCGTGTAATAACAGATTGTAAAAGGCCAGTAGCAACAGCATTTGCTAGCCAAACTGCATATGTAATGTCGTTTAAATCGGGGACAGTATTGAACTGGCTTCTCTAATACCGTTTAAGAACCCTGGTGAAAGTTGACTTGCGATTCAATTGTATTTAAGACACTTTAATTTGCGGAATTTCTAAACACGATGCAAAAATGATAAAGAATATAACGATATAGATGACGCTATAATGGGATTTAGATTTTCAATAGAAATCAGTGTTAAAAATGATCTTTATCCAAACTAATCTAATTTTTAAAAATTTTTTATTATTATTTCATTGTTTTTCAAATGTAAATGTGAAAAGAACTGACACAATAAAAACCACTTAAAGGAAAGAACTTGATGACTTTGAACAACTACAGTTATATCTTTAAAACAAGATGTGATATGCAAAGATTATTTTATATTCTTGATTATTCCAGATTCTTTTCTGCACTCTAAATACTCATAAAATTGATATGAGCGAGTTATTAGGAAGTCAGATAGGAGTAGGGGACTTCATATTTGCACACAGAAAAGGTAAAACTATAAATTTTGTATCATTCTACATTTTAAACAACATTATGTTTTGTTGGACTTTCCTTCAATTGTTACTAATTTGCTTCCTTTTAGGAAGGCCTAAAGAGATAGAACTGGTGAAAACGAACGAGTCCCTCGGTTTAACTATAACTGACAACGGTGCTGGCTGCGCCTTCATAAAACGAATCAAAGAAGGCTCGACAATCGACAAAATAAAAGTAATCGAGGTTGGAGATCATTTGGAGAAGATCAACTCAACTAGTCTAATTGGCAAACGTCATTTTGAAGTGGCAAAAATGTTAAAAGAGATTTCTATGGGTGAAACATTCACCTTGAGACTTGTAGAACCATTGAAAAATGGTTTTGCTAATATTGGTCCACGAGGAGACATGAGGAAGGGAAAGAAATCCAGTTATGGAACTGGAAAGGAAACACTCAGGTTCAAAGCTGATGGAAGTGCCCAGATTATACAAGAAGTAATTAATTACCTTTTGTAAAAAGCAAGATGAACTATAACAGAGAACTATAATTATATTATATATAATATAATTTTCTTGTAAAAAATTCATTTGTTCTCTTGTTGTTGACACTACCAGGTGGATAATGCTGCAACCATAGGCATAGAAAAGATCAACGTGATTCTGGAGAGTTTCATGGGCATCTACGACACAGAGTTAGGTACAATAAAATTGTCCAATAGTGTATTGAAAAATTTACAAATGCAATTACAAGGTTTGATACATTTGTTGGATTCTTCTTTCAAATAGCTACTCAAATTTGGGAGCTTGCAGAGGGCAAGCGTAACAGCAGTGAATTTGCAGAAGCAATTGACAATTCGGATTTAGAAGCTTTTGGATTCACAGATGACTTTGTTATCGAGTTATGGGGTGCCGTGACTGATGCCAGAGCTGGAAGACATCGATAATGCCGCCGATTATATGCCAATTAATAGGACCAAATGAAGAAAGGAAAACCATTTCCTTTATTATGAGCTTAAAATCTGTGCTATAGAAATGTGGTATATTTAATAATTGAACTGTAAATTATTTGTAGGAATTAGTATTTTGAATTTGTACAATTTATACTATAAATTTATACATATTTAAAATAAAAATAAAAAATATATTTGAAAGAATTATAGACATCTCTTATCATAAAAATATACAAAAAAAAAAAATAAAAATTTGATTAAATATTTGCTAATTATTATAATAAATAATATAAAGATATAATAATTAGAGAGAAAATAGATAAACAGAAACAGATAAACAAGTTTCTCAATTTCTTGTTTTGAAAAATTATAATGTAAAAAAGTTTGAAAAATCATTACAAAATCATTTGACTTATTGGCAATGATATATGCACGATAATCGTTTCCTTTAGAGATACAGAATGTTTTATCTCGTTCAAATTTAAATCTTGACATATTTTTATTACTCGAATAAATAAAAATCAACCAATGAGAGTCAGAGGAACTGTTATCTATGAAGTTTGTGTCACTGCTGACTGCTAACTGAATATTTTGCAATATTTAACCTACAACGAAAATAAATTTTTGCCTCGAAAATGGTTTTTGCCATAACTAGGGCCGGTTTTATATTTTTTCGTACTAACACGAGATCTAAAAATAATTATAAATATCTTAAATTGCCAAGGGTACGTAATATTAACATAAAAGTATACCGACTAACCTACTAATTTCTTACTAGTAAAATGATTTGTCATCTTTTATGTGTCCTTATTAAGTAAATTTTATTATATCTTAATCATAAATTTTAGATTTAATTTTTTTTAATTTATATATATAATTTTTTTTATTTGTGTATATAGAAAAATGAAAAAAGATTTAAATAATTATCATATTTACTATACTGTCCTTTAGTAAATTAAATAAACTTGGAATGAAACTTCTCTTTGCTAGATATGCGCAGTAAACCTTTCCATAAAAACTGGCATCCCTCAGCCAGAGGAAGAAGCCCAAAAGTTAAAATCACCAGTAGGAGATGGGAAGGTATTCAAGACCGCAGGTGAAGCTATATCAGACATACCAGATGGTGCTAAACTTCTGGTTGGTGGATTTGGACTTTGTGGCATTCCTGAAAACTTAATTGCAGCTGTATTAAAACGAGGTTCCAAAGATCTAACTGTTGTTTCAAATAATGCAGGGGTTGAAGACTTTGGATTAGGTATACTTTTGAAGGAATGTAGGATTAAAAGAATGATTGCTTCCTACGTTGGTGAAAACCCTGAATTTGAGAAACAGTACCTCAGTGGTAAATTAGAGGTTGAATTAACTCCGCAGGTAAACATTGATGACTTAAAATAGTTTCAATTAAATTACAGAACATTGAAAATTTCAAGGTAATACTTTTTTATACATATACAGGGTACATTGGCAGAACGTATTCGAGCAGGAGGAGCTGGTATTCCAGCGTTTTACACTCCTACAGCGTATGGAACGATAATTCAAGAAGGTAATGTCATTGTGAAATATGATGAAAAGGCAAATCCAGAGATATCCGGTGAACCAAGGAATGTGGCACAATTCAATGGAAGGAACTACGTCATGGAAACTGCCATAATAGGAGATTTTGCTCTCGTGAAGGCTTGGAAAGCAGACAAAGCTGGCAATTTAGTGTTTAGAAAATCAGCCAGGAACTTCAATCCGGTGATGTGCAAAGCAGCTAAAATCACTATTGCAGAAGTAGAAGAAATTGTAGAAACCGGTCAATTAGACCCCGATCAGGTTCATTTGCCAGGAATTTTTGTGGACAGGATTGTGAAAGGTCCTTCGTACGAGAAACGCGTGGAGGTTCGTGTACCTTTGTCAAATTAAATATTTCAATAATTTAGAGGATTATTAAAACATTCGTTTCTTTTGTATTAGAAACGATATACGAAGCAAAATGTGAAACCCAAAAAAGTGACACCAGCAAGTAAAGCAAGGGACAGAATCATTAGACGAGCCGCCCTCGAATTTAAAGACGGAATGTATGGTAAGGAATTCGAAAACAAATACATACTTCAAATTGAGATTGCATTAAACAAATTTTCTACTAAACTTTCTACAGCTAATTTGGGAATCGGTATACCCATGCTGGCCTGCAATTACATTCCGAAGAACGTGAAGGTGACACTGCAGTCCGAAAATGGTATCCTTGGTCTGGGTCCATTCCCTGACGAGTCAGAACTCGATCCAGACTTGATAAATGCTGGAAAAGAAACAGTCACTGTTCTTCCTGGAGCCTCTTTCTTTAGCAGCGACGAAAGCTTTGCAATGATTCGAGGGTACTTACAGGAGATTGAATATTTATATTTTGTTTTCATTGTTAGTGGAAGATCGTACATTTGAACTTCTTTCAGAGGTCACATCAATTTGACGATGCTCGGTGCTATGCAAGTTTCAGAAAATGGAGATCTCGCTAACTGGATGATACCAGGAACTATGGTGAAAGGAATGGGTGGCGCAATGGATTTAGTTTCTGCTGAAAGTACAAGAGTGGTAGTTACCATGGAACATAAAGCTAGAGACGGAAGCCCAAAGATTTTGAAAAATTGCACTTTGCCTGTTACAGGTAATTCTTTTCATTGGAATATTTCGTAAGATAGAGACGGTTACGCGTATTTTAATTCTAGGTCAACAATGCGTGGACTTAATAATCACGGATATGGCAGTGTTTGAAATAGTTCACGGAGAAGGATTGAAATTAATTGAAATCGCGCCAAACATTGACATCAGTGACGTTGTTAGTTCTACAGGATGCGAATTCTCAGTAGCTGATGATCTTCAAGAAATGAAACAAGTAGACTTGGAAGACTGTCAGTAGTTTCTTTAAATATCAATGAAAGAATATCATTAATACAAATGAAAGTCACGCAAATTTGCTTCGCCTAAATTCTGATAAAAAGAATGAAAATGAAGAATACTTAAAACCATTATTTTCTAATTATAAAATTACAAAGTCACGTCGTCTTTACCCCTAAGAATTGTAAAGCTTAATCATAAATGTAATATAAGTACAGTACTTTATGTAACACGGTAGCTAGGTTCTAACAAAGGTAATATAATTTTGTAATATATATTCATTTATACATTCGTTTTTAAATATAAGCGCTGCTTATATGTCTATCGAACTCTAGAGTACTTTATCTAAACTTTCTTGTTTTTAGTTTCTATCGAACTTATTCTCTGAATTTGGCTTTCACTTTTGCTGGAAGCGGTAACAGATACAGAACACTGTTAAATATACTCAGTCCAACAGCAAAAGCCAAAGAAATTAACAAGTTTAGGTCAACGTTCAATACTTCTGAGATATTCTCGCCTTCGCGTGTAAACCGTTCTATTAAATAGGCTCTCCCATCTGGGTATCTGCACAGTTCCGGTATTCCAGGACACGCGAAACTTTCATTGTAATGCAAATTTAAAAACGCAGGTACATCAATGGCTAATTGATTCAAAGCCAATGATGCGTACCTGGCAGGTAATGCAGTGGAAATTGCAGCGAGCCAATAAGGCAGACCTTTCAGACTTCTGATAGTTCCAGATCCAATTATCAAGAACACCAAGGTCATGTATAACACAGTTATTGCACCGGTGATAGGTCTGCCAACTACCATGAGCACTGCAACGGTTATTTGCTCTGCTGCCACATAGCTAGCCCATAAAACACCACAGGCATAAGCCCAAGTAGATAAATCTAGCTCTAAAATAGGTGTCAGAATGCCAATCGTGATCATGGTAGATATAAAACTCAATGGCAAGCTCAGCAATGCGTAAGCAGTCAAGAACATTGCTCCACCATAGAGACCTTCTCTTTTCTCTTGATAATATCTGGCCCTATAGCCTGGAACTTGAAAATTAACAAATGTTATGTAATACTGGTGTATTAAATTGCATGAAAAGATAAAAAAGATTGGACTAAGTGTACTTACAGAGGAGAGCTGTGCACGCTATTCCAGCAACGTAGAACAGAGTCACTACATTGAAGACTAGACCGCCTGTTTGCAGAAATATTCTGGACTGCATAGGGGTTGAATGTGAATAAAGGATACTCATCAGAGCTATAGAGAAAGGTAGCAATAATAGCCTGGCAGCAAAGTGTCCCAAGCCAGATTTATTGAAGGCAAATGTTGCTGCCATACCTCTCCTAAAACGTAAAGGTTACACCAACATCAATTATTTCAGGGAATAATAGCTATACGTTTGTAAAAATACATACAAATACAAGGCGAACAGAGTGGAGAAACATCCTGGTTTAATTCCGCGCCCTAACCCTTTGTGCATAATTCCTAGAGGCGTATCTTTGATATTGGGCAGTACTTGGGGCGCCTCTTTCATATAAATAACACCCTCGGCCTTGAATTTTTCAACCAAAACAGATATCTGCTGATTTGATTCTAAGAAACGATCTCTCGAGCGACGGTCGACGGTTGACAAACATACTAAAGTAGCTATTATTACAACTTGACCAAGCAAATACCTAATTATTGCATCTAATACGCATCCACATGTACTTACGGTAATACATCAGAGGATTTTCGAGCTCGGGACAAGGAAAACCGATATAAGTGAAATAGTCCAACATACTTCTGGTCGGTCCGGAATAAACCACTGCTCCCAGACATAAAAGAGTCACGCGACTCACGAAAGGCAACACGTCTGATCTAGGAGTTTCCATCGTCAAAACAACGATGGAACCTCTCCTGGTTGCGTAAGACCAGAGCATAGAAACGATCAAATACGTATTTAACGGATCAGTGTCCCAGGTGGGCTCGTCCAAAAGTAACAACGTAGGATCTTTAGCCAACTGTACTCCCAGCATGAGTCTTCTGTACTCCGGCTTCGTCAGATCGTTCACCGACCTATTTGCAACCTGAGACAGAGCCAGATCGGCCAGAGTTTGTCGAACTCTGGCTTCCCTGTTGCTCAAATTGGCAAGCCATGTGGCATAGGTCAGTGTTTGTCGAACTGTTAGACTGGGTAACAAATGACACCTGTGAGCAACGTATCCGCCATGTCGTCTGAACAATTCTGGCGTTAATAGATTATTGTTTAGGACGACTCTGCCCCTGGTTTCTCCTTCTGCCCTTCCCGCTGAAAGATAAGAAACTTCCAGATGATTTCCAACGTCCAATTAACGATATTTGAGCCTAGATCATTATCTTACCAATGACGTCAAGCAAAGCTCTCTTTCCAGATCCTTTCGAGCCCAAGATCGCTAATACCTCGCCACCATGAACTCGAGCAGACACGTCTCTCAACACTGCAGTAGGTTCCGACTTGCTCAAACAACTTCCTTCGATAACCACAGAAGTGGAATGAAACACGTTGGAGATATCAAGGGTACAGTCCGATGGAATCATCCTGAAACCCTCTGGATTATCTCATAACGAACCTTTTAGAAAAGACTAGAGTTCCTGCTTAATTCGAGGGTGAAGTACAAATTTCGAAGACAAAGTTGTATTGAAATGAAAAAACAATTGGGTTCTCCCAATAAGATAGTATTTGGTGGCAGTGATTGCACTCCAAGAAAACACACAGAATGGAGAAAACGACGTACAGACGAGCACAGCGGCTAGAGAAGTGAACATGGCATATAAAACGTAGCGATCGGTAACAATACCTGGCTGGGAGTTGGCTTCACGAGGTGAATGTCTTCTTTGAGAGGAGTTTGGTGGGAGGAAGGTAGCATCAGTGGTAGCTCAAGGGTGTACTCACTGACTGCCATCCCCAGTTCTTTCCTTAGTGCCTAGAATCACACAGAAAAGAGGAAGATCCTTTCAAATAACACCAGCTTCAACTAGTAATTTTTCACAAATATTCGCAACGTTATGTGCGAAATTTTGTCCCGTTTTGAAATACATTTGAACACCTTTTTGATTGTAGTAAATCAACTTTGACCGCTTCGTAGATACCAATAAGAATAGAACGAGATTAAAAGTTAACGATGTGACGGAAATAATACTCAATCAGCTACAAATTGACACGATCGGAAGTCAAGGGCCAGATTTTTAGTAGGTACTTCATTGAGAATTTGAAAGACCAGCAAGGAAGGAAGGGAATGTGGAGAGGGGGTTCCGTTGGAGGTTCGGAAGGCACGTCTGTCAGAAGGCAGCGTTTAGAAAAGACTCCTCGGCGTTGGACATACCGATGCCACTGCGGTATCGCAATCGCGGATCGGGTGATGCGTTCGCGGTTCCCGTCGTGCGATTCCTTAGCTGACAGACACGGTGTTTGCCCTCGAAATTCCTACCCGGAGTTACCAGAAAGAACGACGACCAAACGAAGAAGAAGAAGAAGAAGAAGACCGGGAGGAGTCGACGGAATGGAGGAGCAGCATCACCTTGACTCGACCAGCTCATCCTGAATACCGGTGGTGAGTCATTGTCATGAAGACTCTCCGGGAATGTATAAAGTTCCATGGCACGCTCAATTCCTGACGTTCACGTGATTACCTCCTTCCTCCTGCACGTGAATCCTATTTTTAATGAAAAGATCATTAAACCATCGTTGTTTGTTTCTACTTTGAGTAGAGAAATTAGCAAAGAAACTCGTGATTCATAGGGTAGTTGCAAAACATTTTTTACTCGATGGAGATGCCATCACGGCAGAGGAAGGATCTTGATCGAATTCTTGTCAGGCGGGGAAAATGAAGAAAATAGAAGAAAACGGCTGATACACTATTCCATGACCAGTCATGGTTCAACGACTGGGAGATTGATTTTGCATAATGAGAGAGTAATAGTACCGGTGAAAGCATACGTGAGATTGGGAATTATTTTCCTTCCAATATTTGTGAATTTTTTTTAAATTAATCGCTTATGAAACATAAACGGGAGGAGAGGGGAGGAGAAAGAGGAGAGATTCTAAACTGGCAAAGGAAAGGAAGTCAACAAGCGCGGTTAATATTCCGTGGCCACACTTTCCTGCTGATGATTTTCATTTCACTGATGCTTTCACTAGCTTGATAATTGTTTAACTAACGACGTAACAAATTAATTACCGTTACTCGTCACGTTCGTGTCGTTAGACGAATTATTTTTCCTATTGATTTATCATTATTTAATGGTCAAATGATGCCAAAAGATCGAGAACAATGAAGAGATTACATTTCGAGGTGAATGCAGTTTATCGAAAGTTTTAAGAAACAGAAATGGTGATGGGAGAAACTTGCGTGAGGGAGACTGTTTGGAGATTTCGATGAGCGCATAAGACACCTGTACTTCAACCATGGACGGCACTCGCATGATTTGCAATGTTAATTAACTCTTTCTCACAGCAGACGGGCGTACCCCCGTGGAATATTAAAAAAAACGTGACAGCACTGACCTCGGTGCACGCCTTCATAAAGCATTCCTTACCCTACCGCGTGGCTCTAATGGTGGAACGAATACAAATAATTGAGTTCCACAGAAGCATACATGAAACATCACAGAAGACCAGTACAAAAGTTTAATTAGTCTGCGAAAACAAATAAAGATGATAAAATATAACAAATTATTTCTTGGACCATCTACTTTTTAAACTTTAAACTTATACATAAATTCAAGGAATTTCTAAAAGAATGATAAGAGAATAAATTAAAAAAAAATTTGAATTGTTTTTCCAAAAATTGCAATTTTTTCCTAGTTATAATAGTGTTATAATTGTACAGAGAATTTGTGCTGTAGAAGAAGTATACCCAGCCAGCAGAATCAAAAAAACCATGCTGGTACTCTTATCGTTTCTCGTGACATTAGTGTCAAGGTTTGTACCCCGATCGGTGCACTAATTCACCTGACGATTTGGTGAACTTTCCACAGTTTCTTGCACGTGGTATCCAGGCCACGCTTTATTAAAACATGCTCTCTGTCACGTGTATGTTCGTAGAAATCGGTGCGTGGGACAATCTCACAGCCAGCGGAAGAGATTTCGAAACCAGAGTATCGCTTCCCTAAATTATCCAAGTCGGCCAAACAGTTGGAAAACATTCTTGTATCGTAGAAAGAGCATGTTATGTCAGTTACGCCATTAGAGAACAATTACAGCAATCTAATGCCATCAAGAACAAGAAATTTTTTTTAATAAAAAGTTAAATATTAAAAAAGATAAAGAAGCAAAACTACCAACTCCAATAGTTGAAAAAGAAGAAATCATTTCTGCTAGATACCGGGTAGCGAGGAAATAATCAATCTTTCATCATAAAACGCTGCTTTTCTTGAGTTTCATCCTAATAAGTTATTAGCCCAGTCTCACGTAATTTAATTGTAAGTGCAGAGAATAAAAGCAGTG